GATCTACTGACAGTCATCGGCGGTCTCGGCACCCACTGGCGCTCCACTCGCGCCATATTACGAGCACACGGGAGGATCTCCGAAGCGGCACTCTGCGCCGAAATCCACGCCGAGCAGCAGAACATGGACCTGCAAGAAGAAAGACACAAGAAGAAAACATTAGCACCGGAATTTGCATTTCACACTCAGCGACGATACAACGGCAACAACAATCGACAACAGCAACAAGTGAAGATGGTACCTCCGTTTTGTCACATCTGCAAGACCTCGGGTCATCCTCGCACACACTGCCCGTCCCGTCAGCAGTCGACGACACAACAGCGACAACTCCGACCTTCAAGTTCCCAAGTTGCTTCAACGCAAGCGAATCCGAAGACCACAATCCAAACTTCAATGACTTCAACTGGACAACCTGCACAAGGAGCAAGAAATATTGTCAATTGCATGGTAAAGATAACCGATTCCTACACAACAGAATCACCACCCCACTACTCACCGGAAGAAGAGCTCGATAACAGGACGCCTCGCCGCGAGTCACTCCAACCGAATCCGACATACGCCGCCATTGCTCAAAGCGAACCGTCCGGCCAAGACACTTGGTTCTTGGACAGTTGCTGCGGACAACATATGTGCTCCTCCGGGCGCTTCGTTCAACGCGAGCATCGACTCCAGCGAGAAGTAGTCATCACGGTCGCCAACAATCAGAACCTGCGCACACGACGACAAGGAGTGGTACAGCTTCAGTCACGAGAGACAAATGTCATATTACACATGTCAAAGGTACTCATCGCAGAGGGACTCGGCTATAACTTACTGAGTGTCAGCCAGTTGATGGCGAAAGGCATTCACTTGGAAGCCGACAGCACTAGACAGGAGTTCAAGTTGTACCACGGGAAGGGCGGCCTCTACATCGGAAGGGCGGTGTTGAAGAACAACGTCTTCGTCCTCGATTTTGTCCCCGACCTGGGCAGTGCAGATAGCGATGCCATCGTCAACTTCGCCGATTGGACACATCCCCCGGATCTCGATCCCGACTTCAGCCCGGGAGGCTTTTGGTACTCGCACACCATACCTGAAGCAGAACGAACACGCGCATTAGCAACAATACAACACTCGGCAGCAGCAGAGACATCATCGGCAGCAGCAGAAACAACAACGACAGCAGCAGAGACATCATCGACAGCAGCAGAGACAACATCGACAGCAGCAGAGACAACATCGGCAGCAGCAGAGACATCATCAGCAGCAGCAGAAACAACAACGACAGCAGCACAGACATCATCGGCAGCAGCAGAGACAACATCGGCAGCAGCAGCAGGAACAACGACACCAGTCCTCGTCGACGAAGAACCACCAACACCCGCACAGCAGTTGAAACCAACTCCACGAGAAGCCCACAGAAGTGCAAACTTCGTCGCCAACTTCTACTCCAACTCCGACGCGTATCAACGCTCACCCGGACACCGCGCTCCTGAAGACATCTGGCACGCACGCACAGGACATCCAAGCAACACAGTGTTAATAACACAATTCGAGTAGGAGTTCTAGACAGAACTCGCTACTACTACCCGACGGCAGAGAACTTCAACGTGCACGAGGAACTTGCCTTATCTGCCCCGAAGCCGACTTACCCCATCGACCGTTTTCTTCTCACCACAACCCGAGCACACCGGCGTACGCACCACTCGAGAAGGTGTACAGCGACATCCTCTACAATCGCGAACCAGGACAAGTCACCTACAACTATACGATTACCTTCATCGACGCCGCCACTCGATATGTCTGGCATCTAAACCTACCAAGCCGCGACATGGCACTCGCAACGTTCGCCGCCTGGCTACCAGTAGCAGAACGAGAGTCGGGAGCACAGCTGAAAAGCTTCCAGTCAGACGGAGAAGGAGAATACACCTCTCAGCGCTTCAAGCAGTACCTGGCGGAAAGGGGAATCAAGCAACTCCTCTCCCTTCCCTACGCCCATCAGCAGCAAGGTGTCGCAGAACGAATGAACAGGACTCTGCAGAACAGCATGCGCAAACTGTTACGTGGCATGCGGCTACCCAACCACCAGTGGCCTGCAGCAATGGACCATGCTGTCATGCTGCACAACTTGCTGTCGTCGTCGTCACTCCCGAACAACGCATCACCGCACCTGCTGTGGACAGGGAAGCAGGGCAGCACAAAAATGTTACGAGTTTTCGGGTGCATGGTACAGTACCGACCCCCAGAAGCACGAGCGGGAAGATTTTCACAACGGGCACAGTGGGGACTACACCTCGACATCGAGAAAAATTACAACGCGTGGAAAATCTTCGACGTCCACTCAAAGGAAACAGTAGCAGCACGTGATGTGATCTTCTACGAGCGACTCACCCTTCAAACGTACCTCGCCAACTTGCACGAGAATCAAGACCCCACAGGTGGCTTTCGTGGTGACCGAGCATTCGCCTCAGCAGCAGACGAAGCAGACTGGGACGAGCAGAACGTCGACAACGCATCTGAAGAAGCCGGGCCTCTCCCGTTCTGCTCCGTCAACGTCCCCATGGACGAAGAAAATCCTCGCGACAGTGCCAACGCCGAAGTCTTCTATCACTTCGCCGACAACGGTTACGTAACACCTGCGACAGTCAACACAAATGAAGCAGAACGGATAGGGCCAAATTTCATACCCGATCCAGAAGCGGGAGACGAAGCAGCTTATCCCGAGGATCCAACACTCCCCCGATACTCACAGACTGGGCTGCAAATCCTCGGCCTCGTCACCGCAGTGCACGGCAACGCGCTTCCTAAGGAGCCTGCGACGGTTCAGCACGCTCTGGGGGGGAAACACAGGGAGAAATGGCGTGAAGCCATGGACAGAGAACTAAAGGCATTGGAGGAACGCAACACCTGGAAGGTCGTTCCCGCAAGCGTGGCAAGGAACAAGACTATTCTCACCGGGAAATGGGTCTTCCGCATCAAAACGAAAGCAGACGGCACGATCGAGAAATTCAAAGCACGCTGGGTCGTGCGTGGATTCGATCAGGAGCAAGGACGAGACTTCACCGAGACATTCGCCCCAGTCAGTCGACATGCCTCTCTCCGAATCCTTCTCGCCGTCGCCGCCATGAAGAAGAAGAAGCTGCGACAAATTGATGTCGCCAATGCATTCCTCTACGCACCCGTCGACGCCGAAATCTTCGTCGAACTCCCACACGGTACCCACGGAAACCCCAATCAGGTCTGTCAGCTACTGAAATCTCTCTACGGAATCAAACAAGCACCACGAGTGTGGCAACAGCACCTACACACCCGCCTTACTCGCATCGGATTTCGTCAACTACCTCACGACCAAGGGATGTACCGATTCACCAAAGACGCAGACTACATCCTGCTGATAGTCTATGTTGACGACTTGCTCTACATCGGCTCCACAGACGACGTCACCACCTGGTTCGAAGGGGAGCTGCAGAAGGACCTCACGCTCACGGTCTCTTCTACCGTCACGCAGTACCTCGGGCTCAACATCCGCGAAGAAGAAAATGCGATCTATCTAAGCGCCGAGAAATACGCCGACACGATCGCCAAGCGTTTTTCACTCACACCTACCGCTATCGCCACGCCATACCGCTACACGGCAGGAGATGACAAAGGAAAATCCGCTCCACTCAAAGCTGTCGGAATATGAGACTACCAGAGGAAACTGGGCTGCCTCCTCTTCGCAGCCGTCACCTGTCGCCCGGATCTATCCTACTCCGCAAGCCAACTCGCTACCTACCTCAAGAAACCCGAAGCAGAGCACCTGGCGGAGCTCGATCGCGCAGTGCACTATTTCGTGAGCACGCCGACGATCGGCCTGACCTACTACAAGAACGAAGCTACGTCAACGAAACTAATCGGCTACGTCGATGCCGACCATGCCGGCGACTCAGATAACAGGCGCTCTCGCACTGGCTACGTCTATCGTCTAGAGCCTATCGGACCTATCTCCTGGCAGTCGAGTAAGCAGGAACTAATCGCTCTCTCCTCGGCTGAAGCAGAATATATCGCCCTTTACTCAGCCACCAAGGAAGGACTCTACCTTCGCGAGCTGCTGGAAGAAGCAAAGTTAGCCGAGTTACCCAACTTCACCTTGTTCTGCGACAACCAATCCGCAATTCGCATCGCCAACAAGAGCGGATTCGCGAACAGAACGAAGCATATCGCCCTGCGATACTTCTTCGTGAAAGACGAAATCGAGAAAGGGAAACTTGATCTATCCTACTGTCCCACGTCCGAGATGGCAGCCGACTACTTGACCAAGAAACTTGGAAAACAGAAGTTCGAGTATTGCATGCTGCTGACTGGACAAAGCCACGTCACCATCAGCGACACTCCAGAAGCGAAGGGGAGTGTTGGGAACAAATAAGTTAAGCGCCTCTGTCGTGTCGAAACTCAGGACACAAAGCGAAGAAGTCCAAATCGAAGCATCGCGAGTCAACCCTCGGAGGCTAGGGTAACCGCCTGGAGGTTACGCGAAGGTCAAAGGTCAGCGACCTTTGACTTGACCAATACAGCGCGACAGCAAGGACACACAACTGACTCGACATTGAGCAGTTGCCCGAGTCGCACTGTATCGAATCGCAACAGCAAGGTAGTTTAATTACATCTATTCGTATTCCTTGTACTCTTATATAAAGCTTTGTATTTGCCTGTTTTAATTAACTTACTTTGCCCTCACATACCAGCGCAAGGTGGTTCAAGACTTTATTATTCAACGCTTCCGCTATTACATCATCCTACTCAAACTTTAACTCTACAAAGATCCTAGGGCACCTCAGCCCAACAACTTGCTCCTCCAGCATCTCCCCTGCCGCTTCACGATTTATGCCCAAGCTGCTTCACCGCTCTACAAACTTGTCTCCTTGGCCGATTCCCTGCCCTGCTTTGCTAATCCAGTCAGAATGCTAAGCTGCTTTCTGTAGCTTAATCAATGTTTTGAAATACCACTCCAGCCCAACAATTCAGATCACTGTTTCACCAATTCAGTGTGCTGCGCTCTGCTGTGCCCTCAAAGCTCTTGCTCGTAGAGACTCCTCATAGAACTCAGACAGGCCGTAGTAGTCACTGCAGGTCGTACATGAATGAAGCAGAAAGCACAGAGCAGATTACACATAGGAGAGGAAAACAACCTCAGTTGAATCCAGAGGCACCGCACAGACAGAAGAAGATCGGGAAAGGTCAAGACATTATCAAGAGAGGGATGACGTGAACTGACCAGAGCTGTGGTAGGGTTTGGCAGCGATTGACACATCTGCCCTCCCCGACCTCGTAGTTGGCATGGTGGATGATCATCTCCCGTATCACATGCTTCGACCACTTGTAGTCATTGTCCCACCGCACACACTGATGGTTGGAGGGTTTGGAACAGCGCGAGAGAGGAGAGGGAAGACAAATGAGAGCTTAACACCGGTTTGATCATCTGCCCTAGCCTAACTGGTCTGTAAGTCAATAGTTGGCATGGTGGATGATCATTTCCCGTATCACGTGCTTCGACCACTTGTAGTCATTGTCCCACCGCACAAACTGCCAATTGTAGAGCGAGTTTGCATCAGCAGGTGGGGAAAGACAGGAGAGAGTTTGGCGCCAGTTGACAAACCTCAGAGTCCAAAGCAGCAGAGGGAGGCAAGAGAGAGCTGGGAGCTGGTTAATGTGGCAGAAGAGCAGAAGCAGCAAGTGGCGCCAACCTCTCAGTGTTACCCTATGTTCCTGCATCCCACCACCTCCCAGTCCCATCTTCCTCTGGAACGGCCTCTTCACCACCTCCCAGTGCCACCTGCCTCAGATACAGCCTCTTCACCACCTCCCAGTGCCACCTGCCTCAGATACAGCCTCTTCACCACCTCCCAGTGCCACCTGCCTCAGATACAGCCTCTTCACCACCTCCCAGTGCCACCTGCCTCAGATACAGCCTCTTCACCACCTCCCAGGGCCACCTGCCTCAGATACAGCCTCTTGACCACCTCCCAGTGCCACCTGCCTCAGATACAGCCTCTTCACCACCTCCCAGTGCCACCTGTCTCAGATACAGCCTCTTCACCACCTCCCAGTGCCACCTGCCTCAGATACAGCCTCTTCACCACCTCCCAGTGCCACCTGCCTCAGATACAGCCTCTTCACCACCTCCCAGTGCCACCTGCCTCAGATACAGCCTCTTCACCACCTCCCAGTGCCACCTGCCTCAGATACAGCCTCTTCACCACCTCCCAGTGCCACCTGCCTCAGATACAGCCTCTTCACCACCTCCCAGTGCCACCTGCCTCAGATACAGCCTCTTCACCACCTCCCAGTGCCACCTGCCTCAGATACAGCCTCTTCACCACCTCCCAGTGCCACCTGCCTCAGATACAGCCTCTTCACCACCTCCCAGTGCCACCTGCCTCAGATACAGCCTCTTCACCACCTCCCAGTGCCACCTGCCTCAGATACAGCCTCTTCACCACCTCCCAGTGCCACCTGCCTCAGATACAGCCTCTTCACCACCTCCCAGTGCCACCTGCCTCAGATACAGCCTCTTCACCACCTCCCAGTGCCACCTGTCTCAGATACAGCCTCTTCACCACCTCCCAGTGCCACCTGTCTCAGATACAGCCTCTTCACCACCTCCCAGTGCCACCTGCCTCAGATACAGCCTCTTCACCACCTCCCAGTGCCACCTGCCTCAGATACAGCCTCTTCACCACCTCCCAGTGCCACCTGCCTCAGATACAGCCTCTTCACCACCTCCCAGTGCCACCTGCCTCAGATACAGCCTCTTCACCACCTCCCAGTGCCACCTGCCTCAGATACAGCCTCTTCACCACCTCCCAGTGCCACCTGCCTCAGATACAGCCTCTTCACCACCTCCCAGTGCCACCTGCCTCAGATACAGCCTCTTCACCACCTCCCAGTGCCACCTGCCTCAGAAACAGCCTCTTCACCACCTCCCAGTCCCACCTGCCTCAGAAACAGCCTCTTCACCACTTCCCAGTCCCACCTGCCTCAGAAACAGCCTCTTCAACACTTCCCAGTCCCACCTGCCTCAGAAACAGCCTCTTCACCACCTCCCAGTCCCACCTGCCTCAGAAACAGCCTCTTCACCACCTCCCAGTCCCACCTGCCTCAGAAACAGCCTCTTCACCACCTCCCAGTCCCACCTGCCTCAGAAACAGCCTCTTCACCACCTCCCAGTCCCACCTGCCTCAGAAACAGCCTCTTCACCACCTCCCAGTTCTGCTGCCCCTCTGGGCGAAACACAGTTGGGTTCCACAAAGCCGCTCGCGCTGCCATGGCTGATGATGCTCCTGATGGGTGGACGGAGAGGTATAAAAGAGCAGGCAGAGGAGAAGTCTGGAGAGTGAGTTAAGCAGGAGCGAAAAACGCTTCTGCTGCTGGAATGGTGTGCTATATCTGCCATCTGCACCTGTTGCTATAGCCGCCCTTCCCATCTGTTGCTACAGCCGCCCTTCCCATCTGTTGCTACAGCTAGATGCTCGTTTCACCTGTTGCCACAGCCACTGCCCTGTTCATGTTGCTACAGCCGTCCTCTTCACCTGTTTCTGCTCGGATTGGATCGAAGTCACTGTAGGAAAAGACGTCGCCATTGGCAATCACAGGGAGCGACAACACCATTGCAAGGAGAGACACCCACTTCCGTTTTCACGGTGCCTATCATTCATTCTCACCTGTGGCTGCTCGGATTGAGTCGAAGTCACTGTAGGAGAAGACATCCCCGTTGGCAATGACGGGGAGGGAGAGCGACGACACCACTGCTGGGAGTGCTACAGCCTACAACTGCCGTTTTCATGTTACAACAGCCGCCATCCTTACCTGTTGCTGATCGAATGGAGTCGAAATCACTGTAGCAGAAGACGTCACCGTTGGCAATGACCGGGAGGGAGGGCGGCGCCACCACTGGTGACTGCTCCAGGGAGTGCTACTGCTGCCCCTAGAGTGGAGCGCTACAGACAGCCACCAACCTCACCTGTGCCTGCTCGGATTGAGTCAAAGTCACTGTAGCAGAAGACGTCACCGTTGGCAATGACCGGGAGGGAGGGCGGCGCCACCACTGGTGACTGCTCCAGGGAGTGCTACTGCTGCCCCTAAAGTGGAGCGCTACAGACAGCCACCAACCTCACCTGTGCCTGCTCGGATTGAGTCAAAGTCACTGTAGCAGAAGGCGTCACCGTTGGAAATGACCGGGAGGGAGAGCGACGACACCACTGCAGAGAGTGCTACAAGTGCTTCTTTCGTGTTGCTACGGCTGTTCCCCTCACCTGTCGCCGCTCTAATGGAATCGAAGTCACTGTAGCAGAAGACGTCCCCATTGGCAATGACCGGGAGGGAGAGCGACGAGACCACTGCAGGGAGCGCCTCCCACTGCGCCTTCATTGACGGGCGGTGAGGAACCTTCCTGGAAGGACGCAGTGGAGAACACAGGGGCAAAAAATGGAAGGAGGAAGAATGAGAGTCTTCAGAGTCAACTCTTTGGGTCCCAACTTGGGGAGGAGGAGGGGAAGAGGGAGTGACGGTATCATACTTCCACAAAACCTTACTACCTTGAATGTGTGTCAATCACCTTGCATGTATCCCCCTTTACCTTGCATACCCAGATCCGTATTGCCTGTGCCTTCAACAGAAGCCCAGAGGGCAAGAGGCGAAGTCAAGTGTGCGGAGGGGCGATTCCAGCAGGTGAATCGTGGCTGGGAATAGTGTAGCATGCCCTCTATTAGCCCCCCTTTTTTTTAGTCGACTTAAAAGCAAGTAGAACTTGGCTGGGAATAGTGTACCATGCATCCCCCCTACCAGCCCCCACTTCGTTGCACGCACCCCCCTTCCTTCACCACCCTCCATTCGCTCGTTCACCTTGCATGAATGCCCAGAGCTGAAATTCCTGTGCTTTCAACAGCCCGGGCAAAGTCGAGTGTGCGGTGGGGCGAGTCGAGTAGACGGATCTTGCACGTGACTGTGATGGAGGCAGGCAGGTTGCGACGCAGGGTGGAGAGGATCTGTAAGGGGTTGGGAAGGGTTTGGAAGGGTTTGAGATGAAAGGGGGGCCGATGGTGAGGAAAGGAAAGGATGGCAAGTTTGGTTGGGACGTGATGTGATGATGTGTGTGGGTGGCTGAAGCATGGGGTTTGGGGAAAAGATAGCGAGGTCACAATCAGGATGAAATGCGAGGACATGTGGATTTGCACGGGGAACAAACAGAAAAGTAACAGGGAGACAGGTGGCATATTCTTGACTTATGCCATGTGCAATCTTTAACACGGAGAGCAGCCATGCCAGATGCGGTCACATACCCACCCACTAATATCTAAACCTTGGACCCTAAACCTGAACCTTGTAGAGTTTAGATTTAAAGCCCAAGGCTTACATCACATGCGTTTTCTGGGCGGGAGAGCAGAGCAGAACCCATGCCACCACTGGTGGAGAAGGGCTTGGGGCAACCCATGTTGATGTCTATGGCTGCCACGTCGTTGCAGCTGGGGGGTGGGATGAGATGAGCCATAAGGTGGATGTTTATGAGATGTCACATGGAACACAGGGCGAGATGCGACACATGAGATGACGCTTCAGGTGACACTTGAAATGACACATGAGACGACACACGAGTTGATGGATAAGTTGGCACATGAGGTGAGACTAGTGTTGAGGGGCTGAACAAGGTCACAGGGCATAGACAGAAGGCGAGAAGGAAGAGAAGAGAAAGAGGAAGGCACGAAGAGGAGGTAGAGATGATGGAAAGGGTGCTAGAGAGGAGGAACTGACACCATTTCGGCAGCCCTTAAAGCCCGGACAGCATCAGCGGTGCCGATCTGGAAGGCCACTCGCGTCTTCTCTGCCTCACACGTGCGGAACACCACGATGCCCGTGGTGGGTTCAACAAAGTCAACGGAATTCAACACAGCTGGGGGACGGGAGGGGGCGGCGGGGGGGATAAGGTGAAGGAGGGGGGGAAGGGACAGAACACCACGATGCCCGTGCTGGGTTTAACAAAGTCAACGGAATTCAACACAGCTGGGGGATGGAAGAGGGGGTGGGGGAGGGGAGAGGGAGGGGGAGGGGGGGAAGAGAGGGAACACCACGATGCCCGTGCTGGAATCAACAAAGTCAACGGAATTCAACGCAGCTGCAGAATGGGAGAGCGAGGGGTGGGGGAAGGAGAAGAGAGGGAACAACACGATGTCCATGCTGGGACTAACAAAGTCAACAGAATTCAACGCAGCTGGGAGATGGGGATGGGTGGATGCGCAGAGAAGAAAGGAGGGTGGTGCTTGTTTTCCCTGCTTGCCAAGCCAGAGGTTGAGCCAATTGCTGGTTGCTATGAGGAACAGGCCTGACACTTATGCGCAGTGTGGTCTATCACCTCCTCACTGTACACCAACCTCATTACATAAACGCAAAAAACCCTTAATGCATAAATAAATCACAATTTATATCACTCACAGTTGACCACTCTCTTGCACTGTACAAAGCGGTGGTCGATCACCTCCTCGCTGTACACCATATCCGCGCCACAGTCCAGAGCAAGCAGCCGGAATGCGAGGGTGTTCTGGGCGGCACGAGTGGGAAGGAAGGGTTGGGAGGGGTAAGAATTTTAATCCGCTTAGAGACCCAAAGTTGAAGAGTAGAAGTTCGGGGGAACAATTAAAGCTCGCGTCAGGGTAAAGACGCTTTGGAAAGGGAAAGCTATGGGATAATTAAGAGAAATATCATTCCATTGTAGTACAAATAAGGACCCTGATTGAACGAGCGTCGCTTACCACTCTAACCATGGGAGCGAGGATGTTCATTCCTCTATACGTCAGCTCCCCTTTTCCTAGCGGAGCTTTCCCCATCTCGTTGTAACCGGGTAACCCGGGCGCCCCCACGCCTCCTTCGTACATGTCATCCGTAAACACGTACGCTTCGTCCGCTTGTGGCCCACCGTCAGTTACCATTCCGTCCGCCAAGTTGCCGGTCGTCATGTCAACGGCAGCTCCGTTAGAACGAGTTTCAGATGGATACGCGTTACAAAAAGATGCTCCATCGGACGAGCTAGTGGCGCAGGAGAGCTCAATATCGGGCCTGCTTGTGATAGGAAGAGTCATGGCGACTGGTGTGTGGTTCACGGCTGCAGATACACAGTTAAAGTTTCATCGAATGCGCGAATTAGTCCACTTCAACGCAGAGGCTTCTTACTGTTAACGATCTTATGTCGCGAACGCGAACGTAGCAACTGCTTGTTGAAAGAGCAAAAGCTTGACTTGCGAACTTCTGGCTACCTACCAGCCACACTGGCTGGAATTCGAGGTGTGGTGCATTTGCAGCCTCAATGATCATGTTCAACGCCAAAGGCACTGGGTTCTCTACGTTGCGGTACGTTTGATTTCGGTTTTGCGTGATTTTGCTAATTCCACCTTCTACCCCATTTTGACCCCATTTTGATAATCCCACCCAAGCACTCTCCCACCGCCAATTTGCGGCAGCAGATGCTTGTGGCGGAAATTTCTCGAAAACTTGCGGAGCTCCCAAGGTTTGGGAGCACCCGAAATTCACACTACAGAAAGGTTGCGATTCAAGCCACCAGGCCTTACTCAAATGGAAGAATACATATTTAGCTCTATAAACAAATGGAAGACAAAGACTCATACTTTCTCAGCTCAAACACATCCCTAATCCCAGCTTCCTCAAAAGCAGAAACTATTAAACTGGTGATTTTAGGGCTCCCACAAGATTTCCATGAGTACAACCAGGACTATTACAATTCCGCTATCTTTGGCTTTCCCTTACTGCTTCTCGAACTCCCTCTTCCCCGACCCCCCTTCTTGACTTGCCCCTTTTTTCTTTTGCCGCCATATCCCCCCTTGTGCTGGCGTGGGTGTATATTCTGCCCCCGACCTCCCTTCTCTCCTCCCAATCCAACATGAAACACCCCACAATCCCCACCAGCCACAGCACCGTCAAGTGAGCAGCCTAGAACCGCTCCCACACCCCCACTTCCACCTGCACTTCCATCTTCCCCATCCTCCTCCATCGCTACACACCTGTCTCCACCGCCCAAGCCATCTCCCTCATGCGCATCAGCCCTTCGTATACCACCCTGATTCCCACCATCATCACCATCAGAATCTTCACTCTCTGATTCTAGTTCTGAGTCAGAATCGCTGCTACAAGCCTCGCCCTCCTCCCCTTCCCCCTCCCCTCTGCCCACAGAGCTCCCCTGTCCGGCCCCAGACAAAGCCCTCTCTGCTGCCGCCACGGCATCTGCCGTGCGCAAGTCAACCAGACCTAGTGATAGGTCCTGAAGTTCAGAGGGAGGGGGGGGAAAGTGTTATGAGAGCAGAGAGAGTGGTGAGAGCAGAGAGGGTGGCGAGAGCAGGGAGAGTGGTGACAGCAGAGTGGTGAGGGAACGGGCGACTGATGAGAGCACGGGAGAGATGGACAGCACAGAGATGTGGGAGGAACGGCCACTGACTCATCATCTTTACATGCTGATTCACCATCTCTTTATGCTGACCCACCATCTCAAAATGCTGACTCACCATCTCAATGTGTTGCTGTGAGTCGTCCACTGCCTCCATGCTCACTGAATGTTGGCCCTGCTCCTGTGGTGTGATCACGGGACGGAGAGGCAGAGGGCCGAACAGAGAACAAAACATTATGTATGAGGCGAATCAAGAATTAACTAACCGCTTCATGCCCCTGCTCCTGTTGGTGATCAAAAGAGGTCTGGTCAGACATGGTTGAGGAGTGAAGACCAAGGGCAGCGTGTCCAAAGTCCTAATCTTCCCTCGTACCTGTATTCGCCCATCCGCACCTGTATTCGCCGCTACGAATCTCTAAGGTTCGTTGCAGCTTGTATATCATCTGCTCTCAATATGGAATAAATTGCCGACATTCCGACCCCCATAACCACAACCACGTTCGTCCAATTGCTTGATTTCTCGTCACCAACTCTCACCATCCACGCCTCTATTCGCCCATCCTTACCTCCATTCACCCCTTTGCACCTCTCTGCACCCCTCTGTACCTCTATGGCTCGCTGCAGCTTCTGGTTCTCCTGCTCCATCTGGGGTAAAAAACCCCGCAGGCGAGCCAGCACTGGCAGCACACGCGAGGAGAAAGACGCATGGAGATAAGCGGGGAGATAAGTTGGGGGGAAGTCAGAGAAAGATGCAGGGAGATACGCAGGGAAATGGGAGGTTTCACGGTTGGAGATTATTCAGTCAGGTGCGAAGAGGTGGCGCGAAAAATGAGTGGCTGAGGCACGACGAATGTAGTCCGCAAGCGATTTCACGCCAAGAAAGAATTTGGGTTTGGAGGTTCGGGGGTTAAACGTTAAAAAATCCCGACCCCTGAACCCTGACCCTGGGGAATCTAACATATCGCGAATTTACGAGTAGCACGGTAACGCACCCGAGCTCTCCCCAACCGGCGATGTGAACATAGCTGGCGGCGCTTGCCCCTGCCATGGTGGCTTCTGCTGTTGCTGCTGCTGCTGTTTCTGTGCGCGCGGGTTCGTTTTGCCTGGCTGCGCCAACAGACGCTCCACTGGATCGGGGAGAGAAGAGGAGGAGAGCCGGACAGGTCGTTACGTTGAGTCGACTTAAAGAAAATGCGAAGTGATATAAAAAATCGAACGGTAGGTCAGGAAAGAAATTGGCGGACGGAGGGGTTGAGCATGGTCGTGAAACCACATTTGGAGGTAAAGATATCTACTACAAATAAAAAACAATCTAGGTGACGGCCAAGTGGGAATATGACGTACAGAAAGGCAACGAATCACCGCCGACGGTGAGTAACTCTTTGCTTGCCGCGATTGACGCTGGCGGCTTTCTCGGACCGCTGCGAGCGCCTTCCGTCGAATCGGCCATTGGAAGGAATGCGAAAGAACGAGCTACACTGCGATGCAAAACCAATGGAATGATGGGTGGGTGGTAGTGGGAACTGGGAGGGGAGATAGTAGTGCCGGCAAATGTACGTGTGCTTGTCAAAGGTTTTGACCGCGTGTCCAGCGCATACGTTTTGAACTGAGGTACAGTTCATTATCTGCGGTTTATTTTGTTGCGGCATGGTGCAAACGGTGAAGATTTAAAAACGCTTTGAAACTCCTGATAACGTCTCAGACCACGACGGATGACTGTATAGTACCTGTTAACGTACGCGCTGGACCCGCCCTGAACGTAGGAATGGACTTGGGTGGTTGGGGAGAGGGGTAGCTTTGTAGGAAGTGTAACCAGCTCGACGACTATGCGAGCTGGCGAGGTTTCCTTAATGCGAAAGCGCGACTGTCTGTATAACGTCGTAACCAATGGAGTGGGCTTGGTGGATGACGGTCCCACCTACCTGCAACCTGGACAGGCGATGCCACGACGGCCGTTTTGCCGACGTTACTTGTCGCAACCAACGCTGCTCTCACAACCCGAAAACAATTCAGGGGCATCACAAACACTTACAGGAGTCCAGGAGGATGACGCTGAAGGAAAACATAGGTTTTGAGCACGAGTAGTGTATATGAAGTTCCCAGTGTGACGCGGCTGAGGATGTGTGAAACTAAGGTCAGAAATAACATCGATGAGGGCTACAAATTAAATTTATGTACTTTTGGCTCTCATTTCGTCGCCCGGCCATATTCGCAAATCTTACACCCCTGATGCCCCCATGTGATTCTTCTCCAATTGGCCGATAGCGGTTGGCAGCAGTTACAGCATCACAAGGGGCGGCAAGAAGCTGTTTCGCCTCCACTCGTAGCGCCTCGTTTTTGCTCGCATTGTCTCGCCTCCCCTCACCTTGCCCTGCCTCGCCTCCATCGCATCGTATAACCTTACTTCGCCTCACCTCGCCACACATGCTAATCTCTTCGCGTAGCAGGAAAAGTGTTGGCACTTGCCAACCACCGAACTGGAAAATGGAGGGGAAACTGTAGTGTGTAGGGCGAGGCAGGAAGGCAGCACAGAGCAGCATTGCTTTTGCGTTGCTGCGGCACCATGCTTCGTAATTTTGCAAGTTACTTTTGTTCGTGTAGGTATTGTACGTAGTTGTGGCACAATCACTGGCTCGTCTTCGTAACGCATACCTCCTCCCGCAACGTTTCTTTATTTCGAAAGAACGCGGCACGATCATAGATCCACCACAAAGCACAGATTTCGGTTGGCGTTTCTTTTAGATCCACCACAGTCCCCGTCCACCTCGTCACACTCCCCTGGTGTTGAACAGTACCGGGTCCATAAACGCGCAGCTCTTGTTCCAGAATAAGAAGCAAACGATAACAAATGCTTCGGAAATATTAGTTTCCAAACTTTTCTGATTCAGCTCACAGGTATGGCTGCTGCAATCAACTCCGCCACGGCGGAGCATTCACCACTAGCCTCCACCTCTCACTCCCCCGATTGCGCCTTCCGCCACCGCTCCCCCTCCCCATGCGCTGCGACCTGGTCGCTCCCTATCAGCCACGCGGCTTCCGCTTCCGCCTCCGCCATGCTCCTCGTCCTCCCCGACGGCTCGGCGCGCCTATACACGGAGGAGCTGACCGTCGCACAGCTCGCATGCGACTTCCCCGACCTCGTCGTCAGCTGCACGGGTATCGACTCTGGCGATAAGTGCGACGGGGGAGTGCGCGACGATTGCGACTCGAAAGCTCAAGAAAAGGAGTCCAAGCCTCGAGGCGCGTTTCTCTCTGACCACACGGTCTTGCAATTGGGCAGGACGTATTATCTCTCGAACCGCGACGGTCCCTGCTCGGATCCTTCTGCTGCTTCTGGGGCGATGAACGATTCGAGACGCAGTAGCAACCCCAGCAGTAGCAGCTACACTACTAGTACCTCTATTATCGAGGATATACGCAACCGCGAAGATTACTGTACGAGCGGTGCGAGTATTAGCAGCAGCGGAGACGGCAGCAGCTTCAGTGGGGGAAGTTGGCGAACTTTCTCGAGTGGCGACGAAGTTTTGTGTAACAGATCGGATGCTGGTTCCAGTAACAGTGGTAACCTCTCCGCTGTGGTTTCGACCGGAACGGAAAGCAGGCGCTTTTTGTCTAAAGAATGTACGATAGCCTGTCACAGGCGATCACTGTCGCTCGTGTTCGCGGACGCGCAGATGCCTTCGCCACGGCAAAGCGTGCCCTGTAATGTTGGTAACCAGCAAGCTCGACGATCACTCACTCCCACCATTTCGCGCTCAGGCGAGCTTTCGCCCGTTCTCTCTCACATACGATCTGCCCAGCGACCTCCTGCGACAAGCTCCCCCGTCGCAAACCGCCGCCAGTTCCTTCGCACGACCACTCCGATGCGCGATCGTCCCATCGCACCTCGTCACTTGCGAACTCGCACGGAAATCCTCGGTGATGCTCCGATATTGACTGACTCACTTGTGGGTGATGCGCCCATTGCTGGATGGCGGACTATAACGAGCGCTGATTGGGCTTCGCTACAAGACACTCTTCGCCAAAATAAGCTCCAGCTCCAGCGGTCGCAGTTACAGCCGTCGCAGCTACAACCGTCGCAGCAGTGGTCGCGCGCGGCTCCCCGCCGCAGAAACTTCTCCGCCACCACAGCGGTTTCCCCCGCTGACTGGATGAGCGCCACTCCTTCCGCCGCCTCCCTTCCCCGCGACCGTGTGCGGAGCCCCGGTCGCGCACGAGCGCAGCTGGCGGCGCACGGGGCAAGCGGACGTGGCGCGGCAGCAGCAGGAGTTGTGGGCGGCACTGCAGTCGACCGACCTGTGGAAGTGTGCCACGTGGCAGTGCCAGCTGGCAGGGCACTGAGGCGGTGCGTTTCGCACACGGAGACACGGGTGGGGGAAGGGCGGGTGGTCTGGTGGGGCGGGGAAGCGGAGCAGGCGCAAAGGCAGGGGGAGGCGGAGGCGGAAGGGGGGGAAGCACATCAAGAAAATGACAAGACCAGGATAGACGATATCCAAGAGCTAGAACCGGTTGATTTAGGCAGTGGCGGCGTGGTTAACGGTGGTGACTGTAACGAGGGTGACACAAACGATCTTCCTGACTCCCCTAACAGCACCAGCAGCGGTGACAGCACCGATAGCGAGGCAGATGCTAACGAGGCGTTTTGGGACTCCCCTCGCTGCTTCTTCTCCCCCCTCTCCCTCTCCCTCCCTCGCTCCCCCTTTACTGCGTCCGTCCCTGCTCCCTCGCTCCTCTCTCTCACCAACACTCCCACCAGCAAGTCCGCAGAATCACCCACTACAGTCACGTCTGCTACAGGAACAGGTGTTGTGCATGCACCTGTTACAGTCACGTCTCGCCCTGGCCACACCCGCCGTCGCACCATGGATATATGCCTGCCTCTGCCGTCGCTCTCCCCTGCTCCTGCTACAGTCCCTGCTGCAGTCTCTGCCCGGAGAGGATCTTTTTCAGCTGCCCAGTCACCGAAAAAGACTCCTTCGGGCGGTGCAGGAGGTACGGGAGGTGCTGCGGCTGCTGCCTTCTCTCCATCCCCTTTAAGAGCCAACTCGGGTGATGGGATAAGGAGTGCAGCTACACCTACACAGGAAAGCTCGCAAAGCTCTAGCAGAAGCAGAGCGCTTCTAAGGAGCATGAGCAGCAGAGAGCGGCAACGCAGCAGGGAGAATATGCCATGCAGCAATTTGAGTGGGACTAGTTCCCCTTGCCCAGAGTCGAATTCAGGGTGTAATGCTGGAAGAAACCCTAGCCCATTGCCCTGGGTGCACGCCAGGGCAAACTCCCTCTGGAATTCATTACCCCAGCTGTCCTCTGCACCATTGGATGCTTCCTGGAAGGTGCAGGAACAGAACACTTGCAATAGCAATGGAGGCAGCACAAGCGACAACTGTGGTAGCACCAGCAGCAGCAACACCAGCAGCAGCAACAGCAGAGCAAGCAGCAGCAGAACGAGCAGCGGCAGCAGCCGCAAGTTCAGTTTGCTCAATTTCAAATCTCTCTCCATCTCCATCCGTTCAGGCAACAACAACTGCAGCAGCTGCACCAACTCTCCTCACTCCCCCTTCTCTCCTTCCCCCTCAGAATCCCCCATCCCAACTGCAAGCTCCGTTTCCTCCTTTGACTCTTCCTTCAATTCGTCATTCCCCCACTCCTCCACTTCCTCCTCCCCTGCCTCTTCCACCTCCTCCCCTTCCTCCTGCTTCTCCTCCCCTTCCTCCTGCTTCTCCTCCCACTCACCCTCCCTCGTGTCCCAATCTCACACACCCAATCCCCACATCCCTCAGAAACATCCCACCCAAAACCTGCTTCCCACAAACCAGCTCCTACCTTCCCTGGCCCACCCCTCCCTCAGTTGCACCTCCCCCACATCCCACCTGGACGCAGTCAAACCCAGCTCGCCCCACTGCAGCCACTCACCACACTCCACCGCATCCAACTCATCCCCCTTGCCCCCTCTGCCTTCACCGTCCGGCCTGCCAGTGCATGTGGGCCGGTCCCCTGTGTCGCCTCACTCGCTCGCCAAGGGGACAGGGAAGGTGGTGAGGGCATCACGATTCCAGAGGCAGGAAGGAGAGGGATAAGACCCTTAGGCATCTGACTGTCAACCTTGCCCTGCAGAGGCATGAGGGCAGGGCCCCTCTGTCCCCTCACCCGCTCTCCAAAGCAAGGGCCTTGCGACAGGTGAATGATGGGCAGCTTGTCTGTACATAGCATCCTGTAATGTATATGTACTAACTTTAATTGTTAGTAACATTTTGTCTACATACGTTGATACTGTACAGCTACACTTACAGTTATGGTACAGGGTTTGAGAAGAATCTAGGAAATGCAATTTAGATCCATTACATGTTCAAACCCTGGGATATTATTGGTGACGTGACATGCCGCACACGAGCCCCCACCCCACCCTCCTATAGCTCCCCCATCCTCCACGTCCCCACCCTCCCTCTCCCCACCTTGCATCATCATCGAGTCACTCAAGAACCCAAACCCGGTCCCTCAAATCTACACCCTAGTCTCATGAACCCAGCAGACCATTCCACACTCCCATGCCCCTCCCCTTGACCCTTCATTCTCCATGCCCCACCAGGTAAAGGATGCTTATTGCCCATACCCCTCTCCCTCCTCGCCCTCGTCCACCTCTTTCCCCATACTCCACGCCTCCAGCTCTTCCTCCCCTCCCTCCCTACGTCACCGCTCACTTCTCTCAATGCCCCACCCTCCTAGAACCCAGGCGATCGCTCCACGCCCCTACGCCCCTCCCCTTGGCCCCCCACGCCCCACGTCCCCATCCCCCCTCCCTCTCCGGGAGACTGATGCCCGTACCCCTCCCTGTCCTCCCCATCCTCCACCTCCTCCCCCATGCTCCATGCCTCTAGCTTTCGAGACAAGGCCCTCAGGCGCTCCCTCTCCCTCTGCAAGTGTGTGCGAGCCAGAGTGATATCCTGAGGGGGGCAGACGAAGAGGGAGGGGGGGGGGGGGGGGGGGAAGAGACAGGCACTGAGGCACGCCAGCGGAGTCCTGTAGTGTTGTACTTTGTTAAAACGGGCAACCCCCCTCCCTCCTCCACCTCCTCCCCCATGCTCCACGCATCCAGCTTCCGAGAGAAAGACCTCGGGCGCTCCCTCTCCCTCTGCAGGTGCGTGCGAGCCAGAGTGATGTCCTGAGGGGGGCAGACACAGGGGGGGGGACGAGTCACACTGAGGAATCACTCTCCCTCCTCCCCCTCCACCTCCTCCCCCATGCTCCACGCATCCAGCTTCCGAGAGAAAGACCTCGGGCGCTCCCTCTCCCTCTGCAGGTGCGTGCGAGCCAGAGTGATGTCCTGAGGGGGGCAGACACAGGGGGGGGGACGAGTCACACTGAGGAATCACTCTCCCTCCTCCCCCTCCACCTCCTCCCCCATGCTCCACGCATCCAGCTTCCGAGAGAAAGACCTCGGGCGCTCCCTCTCCCTCTGCAGGTGCGTGCGAGCCAGAGTGATGTCCTGAGGGGGGCAGACACAGGGGGGGGGACGAGTCACACTGAGGAATCACTCTCCCTCCTCCCCCTCCACCTCCTCCCCCATGCTCCACACCTCCAGCTTCCGAGAGAAAGACCTCGGGCGCTCCCTCTCCCTCTGCAAGTGTGTCCGCGCGAGATTGATGTCCTGAAAGGGGCAGACATAGGGGAGGAAAGAGACACTCGTAGGAATCCCTGGGCAGGTGAGAGTGGATAGCTCAATGGTTGAGACCCTGGGCAGGTGAGAGTAGATCGCTAGGCACTGTTGCAGCTGGCCCACCTCCTCCTCCTGCTCCTGTAACTAAACCCCAACTCTGCTAACATCCCTTTTCACCACATCTTACCGCATCAGATTAGACTACACCGCACCACACCATACTGAGGGCAGGTCTGAGAAGATTGCCAGGTGCAGCTGCCCCACCTCCTCCCCCTCCCACTGCACCTCCAGCTAACCCCATCCCCTCTCACATCCCTTTCCACCGCATTGCACCACATCTCATCACACCACACCACACCACACCACACCACACCACACCACAGCACACCACAGCACACCACAACGTATCCCACCACGCCGCACCACACCGCACCGTGGGCAGGTCAGAGTAGATGGCGAGATCATGCTGCAGGCGTCCCACCTCCTCCTCCTCCCCCTGCACCTCCGCTGCCAGCTGTAACAGGGCAGCCATGTCCACGTCAGCACTGTACCCCGCAGCTTCTAGTGAGCCCTGAGAGGGAAGAACGGAATAGAAATTCAAGAAAGGAAAAGAAGAAAGAGCATTCATTGACCCAGATGTATCAGGGCAGTCATGTCCACGTCAGCACTGTAGCCCGCAGCCTCTAGTGAGCCCTGTGGGAAAGGGAAAGGAGGGAGAGGGAACAAGAGGAATAAAAAAACTCCATTCTTTTGCTGCTGCGCAGGAGAGAAAGAGGGAGAGTTAGAGCGGAGACCCAAAGACATGGAAAACCCCATTTGTTCTCTTCCGCCAGCCATGCCATCACATCCACCTCACTGGTGACGTGGCAATGTTACTGTGCCCACGTCGGCAGGTCGCACGAGCGCCGCCAGGACTTTAACCACTGCCACCATGACATGTCGAGCACGGGCTCCGAGCAGGGGCGCAAGGGCGACTCAAACATCCAGGTGCCGACTCTGGCTGCACGCCTGATAATGAAGTGCCGCCTTTTTTGTGCCTCACTCATTGCTTGGGAAAAGGCAGAACTTCTTTTTCTGGCGTGCAGCCAGATTCGACACCTGGATGTTTGAGTCGCTCGAGAGTGCGCCTGTGCTCGATATGTCATGGTGGCAGTGGTTAAAGTCCGCGCTTGTTCTGTCATGCCATGCCATGCCATCATATCCATTTCACAGGAGAGGTGGTACTGCAACTGTGTCCACGTCGGCAGTACAGCACTTTGCCGCCGCGAGTGAGAAGAATCGGGGAGAATCGAGAAAATCCTCCATCAATCTCCCCAACCCCCTCACCCACGCACACCTGAGCACCAAACTCCTGCAGATTTAGTTGTTGCTGCTCCTGTTGAGGCTCAGCTGCTGCCGCTCCAGTTGATGCTCCTCAAACGGCACCCTCTATTCCCCCTTCTCCGCTTATCCTTTCCCTATCTCCCCCATCCACTCATCCACCCACACCCATCCCACTCACGCCCACCTGTATGGCGGATTGCTGCAGGCCCAAAACTCTGCTGCTGCTGCTGTTGAGGTGCCTCAAACATCATTCCCCACCTTCTTCCCATGCTGAAACTCTCCCACTGTCCACCCATTCACCCACACATACCTGAGCGGCAGATCGCTGCAGGCTCAGCTGCTGCTGCTCCTGTGCCGTTCTCCTGATTTTGTCTGCCACGTCATCAGTGGCCCTGCTGATGTCATCGTCCGATGGCAGCTGCGCCTTCCAGCTGGCAGCACAGCACAGGGTGCCACGTGGCAGAGGGAGGTGGAAAAGAGAAGGTCAAGGAGGTTGACAACTACAAATAAATGTAAATCCAACAAGAAAAAAACTGCAAGAAAGAACGGAAAGAAGGACGAGTGTGAGAGAAGCTAGATTAAGCTGCTCTTAGCCTTCTCCCCTCACACCCACCCTCACCTCTCGATGCACTCAGCCAGAGCTGTGACCTGCTCCTGTCTTGTCTGCAGGCTGGCCTGGGTCTGCTGCATCCGCCGCAGCAGCTGCTCGCAGTGCCATGCGCGCGTTGAAAGGTGAGTCACTGCGCTGGGAAGACTGGAGAGATGGAAACAAGGCATGGAAAGTAAGGGGTGGGGGGGCGGAATGGGCAGGTGTAGCAGGCTTGTGTGGGTCTGGTGCATGCGCTGCAGCAGCTGCTCGCAGTGCCATGCGCGCGTTGACAGGTGAGTAACGGTGCTGGGGAGGCTGGGGGGAGGGGAAAGGAGGCAGGGACGAGGGAGAGGGGTGAATGGGTGGGTGTAGCAGACTGGCGTGGGTCCGCAGCATCCGCAGTTGCTGGCAATGTCAAGCGCGCGTGGACAGGTGAGTGACGACGCTGAGGAGGCTGGAGAGAGGGGAACAAGGCATGGAAAGAAAGAGGGGAGAGGGTGAATGGGTGGGTGTAGCAGGCTCTGCTGCTGTAGCAGGCTCTGCTGCTGTAGCAGGCTCTGCTGCTGTAGCAGCGGTGGCTATATGCACTTACCGTGGTCCTAAATACGCCATGCGTATGGTTAGTAACCTATTGCACACAGCACATGCATGTGAAATCTCACCAGTGTGGGTCCGTGACAGCGAGCAATTGGCAGAGCTCTGCAATCTGCAACACCGCTTCTGTTGTGTCAACGTCATGGAGCTTGATCGCGGAACTCGCCCAACACTGCTGCCAGCATGGCTTTCAGGTGCGCTGCCGGGAGGAAAACAAAAAGGACTCACCAGTGCGGGTCGGTGACTGAGAGCAGTTGGCAGAGCTCTGCAATCTGCGACACTGCTTCTGTCGTGTCAACGTCACGGAACTCGCCCAACACTGTTGCCAGCACTGCCTTGAGGTGCGCCGCTGAGAAGGAAAGAAAGGGAGAGAGGAAGGAAGGAGGTGACTTATGAGTAGACCCAAAAGAGCTCTGCAATCTGAGACACTGCTTCCGTGGTGTCAACGTCGCGGAATTCGCCCAACACTGCTGCCAGCACTGCCTTAATGTGCGCCGCTGGGAGGGAGGGGGCAAGAGGAAGGACGGATAAGGAGGGAATTCAGGCCACCACAAGGGATTCGCAGAATACTGATGAGAGCACGACCCTCTGACGTCACGTTTCAGGCCACCACAAGGAATTCGACTGACATCGAGCGAGATCCACCCAATGCAGCATCTTCATCGTCACCAGAACCACCTTCAACAGAATCCCCTTCACCAGAATCACCTTCACCAGAAACACCTTCACCAGAATCACCTTTGCTAGAACCACCTTTACGTGAATCAACTTGAGCAAAATCACCCTTCACTGGATTTACTTTCACCAGAATCACCTTTACCGATTTTCCTAATATCGCCTTAACAGACTTCACCTTCCGCTCGGTATCCTCGAGCCTGGATCTCCGCTTCCGCCATCATCGGCGACTTAGCGGCGGACGTTGCTACGCTCCGCGCACCCTGATTCCCACCGGCGTTTCGGCCGCCGCTGCTGCTGCTGCCGGCGTTAATCCTGCTGCCAGCGCTAACGCTGTTGCCGGCAATATTGTTGCTAGAATCGCTGGCTCTGCAGCTGCTGCCGCTGCCGCTGCCGCTGCCGCTCCTCGCGCTGTCGCTCAGAGCTAACGAGCAGCCTTCCGGACTAGAGAAAAGCCTGGTTCTACAGTCACTATCCGCCATGATAGCGTTGCAGTCTCTTGTTCAGAAGGCACAGACTTTCTACCAACACCAAACAAAATCAAGCAAACATCAATCCTGGATCCCAAGCAACAAACGCTGATTCGTCGGTCCTAGTTCGCGACTGTCGCTAAACCGTTCGCAATGTCGTAGGCCACGCAAGTTCCGCGACACCCAGACAACCCGATGTTGCAACGAAAAAACGCTTCATGCAACTTTCGTTACTGAGTTGCGACAGTCGTCAAGCAGCTGAGCGGGCATTCAGCATTTTTGAGACTTGTCGCAAACAACACCAAGAACCCAAACTATGTTCGCCCACTTCGCCATGACATGTACGTCCCAGTGACATAGGATTGTAAGCATTCACCCTACTCAGTCCATGTGTACAATTGTGTTTTCTGTAATTGAAAGCTCGTACTCACTTTGTTTCACATTGCGCATCCACCAGAGAAATACTGTACATGAGATCGTTATGGAAGCATAATGATACCGTACAACAAGAATCAACAGGCCCCAAAACCTTTGGATGTGTCCAGGTAACAATCTGCGACAACATCCAGGTCAACGCAGTCAACGGAGTCAACGCTGCTGCCCTCCTGGATGCCTATTGTGGTGATCACTGCGTGGATGTTGCGGGTGGTTTCCTGGAAGCTGTTGGTACAAATCAAGCGACTGCTGGTTCATTGGCAAATACGCGTATCTGGGCGAAGGGGGGTAAGCGGGCAGCAACTGCTGACTTGGCACTGCCATTCCGTGCTCTGCAGGGACCACTTGTGCTCCTGCTGATGCTGCTGCTGCTCCTGATACTGCGCGCATAGCTCCTGGTGCTGCTGCTACCGCTGTTGAAGCTCCGGCTGCAAACTCTGAGCCAAATGCCACATGCTGCAGGCTTGCATTTCTACTACCTGTGCTCACGCCTGTGGCCGTGCCTGTAACCATGCCTCCGTCTGTGCCTGTGCCCATACCTGCTGACAGAGCAGGGCTCCTCTGACCTGCCCTGTCGCCTCGTGCAGGGGCTTCACGCCGTGAGGCTTGCACCTGCCCCATCGCCTGCCCTGTTTCCCTGGAATGACTGGAATTGCCAGAATGCCGTTTTGCATACCCCCCTGCCTGTGTGCGCGTGTCCCGAGTGGAAGGTCCAGCAGTCCTTGATACAACAGGCTGTGCTGCTGCTTCTGTGCTAGATCTCACACCAGGTGTCACACCAGGTGTCACAGGAGCAGGTTGAGAAGAGGACATGGGAGGTGGAGAGGAGGCGATGGGAGAGTGAGGGGAGGAGACGTGCAGAGCACTCAACTGGGCCATGTAGTCAACTGCTCCCTTCCCCGCCTCTGCTCTCTCTCCCTCCCTCCCTTCCTGACCAGTCTGCAGCTGCAGCTGCTGCGGCTGCTGCTGTCGCTTCTCTGCCTGCCTTCGTTGCTGCTGCCTCTGCTGCTTCTCTAGCTGCCTCTGCTTCTCTGCCTGCTGCTGCTGCTTCTCTAGCTGCCGCTGCTGCTCGGCCTGCTGCAGCTTCTGCATCTCAACATGCACTGGAGACAGCACACCGCCTGCAAGTTGCGCTACAGCCGGATTTTGCGCTACAGATGGATTTTGCGCTGCAGCTGGAGTGTGCGCCACAGCCCGATTGTGCGCAGCAGATTTATTAGGATGTGCTGGAGTTGGGGCATGTGCTACAGCTGCAGCAGATGGGTGCACAATAAACTGTTCCTGCGCATGGCTTGCCCTCTCTGAGGCGCGTGCCTGCTCCTCCTGCTTCAAAAGCAGCTGGTGAAATCACATCCGTGCAGGGCATGGGAATGCAATGGGGAGAAAAGAGGTAGGGGGGGGGGGGGGGGGGGGGGGGGAATAGTGAGTCGACTCAAAACGCCCTGCTCCTGAACGTGGCTTACCCTCTGTGCGATGCGTGCCTGCTCCTCCTGCTTCAACCGAAGCTGGTGGAATTGCAGTGCCGTGAGGAACGGCAATGCACGGGGGACGGGGGCAGAAAGCAGGGGGGAAAACACATGAAGGGCGGATGGAAGGAGAAAGTGAGAGCATGGAGAGAGCAGTGAAAAACACCAGTGGGAGAGAGGAATGAGAGAGATTGGTGAGAAAGCGCAGTGAGAGGAAGCAGTGAGGGAGGGAACTACGAAAGTGCTCACCGCTGCTTTGTTGCTCCGAGTTATGTTTTCAAGAGCTGCGATAGCCGGGACGAGACTGCAAAAATATTATTATCACCACAAACAAAGAAAAGAAGGGAAAGGACTCAACAATAAGGAGGATAACAAACACCAAGCTGTATACAGCACTGAGGTGGATATAACACGCAATAAGGTGTACATACAGTAAACAAAACTAACGACTGACGATGTATTGTGCACTATGTAGTGTATCTTTCATTGTGCACTATGTAGTGTATCTTTCATTGTGAACTTTAAAAAGTAAGGTGGATATGAAAGCATGTTAACGAGGCCAAGGGGGATTGAAACTGGCCAATAAGCATCGCCATGAGGTGCCATGAGGTCTCCTGGGGTGTAATCAGGTGGAATGTGCTTCTGTACCCTTTAAAAGCCTTTTGTGCCTCACCAAGTTTCCATTAAGCGGCACAAAGCTGCTTGATAGGTGGCGTGGTGGTGTATCAACTCCAGAGGGTTAGGCTCGCCGTGTCTGGAGTAGAGAGAGGGGAGGGAAGAGGGTGGGAAGAGGGGAGGGGAGAGGGTGGGAAGAGGGGAAGGGAGAGGGTGGGAAGAGGGGAGGGGAGAGGGGACAGGAGAGGGGATGGAAACGAGAGGATGATAGGTAAGCCTGGTAGGCGGCGGTGGCGGTGAATCAGCTCCAATGGGTTGGGCTCGCCGTGTCTGGGGCAGAGAGGGAAAGGAGGCAGAGGAGGAAAGAGGTGGAGGGAACGGAGGGTGGAGGAAAGGACAATATGACAGTCAAATGTGGTAGGTGGTGTGGTGGTGACTCAAAAGAGGGGCCATGGCGTGTGAGCGGGGCAGGGACGGGGAGGCTCGGGCCGAGGGGGGTGCAGGAGTGCAGGGGCAGGGGGCACACAGACAGGAGTGCAGGGGCAGGGGCACACAGACAGGAGCGCAGAGGGAAACAGAGCAATGTGTACGTGCCTGCCTGTATGCTCTACCGCCTTCTCATACGCCTCCTTCTCCTCCATTAACAGCATCCACTGCAGCTGGGTGAGCTTGAGGCAGAGAGGAGAAATCGCGGGCTGAGGGCACCACATGAATGTAGAGGGGCACATTGCAGTGTGCACATACCTGTGCGCTTCTTCTACCGCCTTCTCATACGCCTCCTTCTCCTCCATTAGCAGCATCCGCTGCAGCTGGGTCAGTGGTGCCAGATCACCGTGTGTGTGAGCGGCAGGGATGGGAAGGGAGCACTCATGGGAACGGGAATTACCATAACCACCCACCTGCCTGCATGCTCTACCGCCTTCTCATACGCCTCCTTCTCCTCCACCAACAGCATGCGCTGCAGCCCAGTCAGGGGCGCCACGGCATGTGCACGGGGCAGGGAGGGGAAGGCTCGGGCTGAAGAAACCACCTTTATTGGCACCTCCCATGCTGTGAAGTCGGATGATGGGCTGCGAGGGATGAAGAGTGTATGGCAGAGGACATGAGATGGGAGAATGCGGAGAGATAGCAAGGGAATGAAGGGGTTTAAGAAGGGGACGGGGCAAAACAAAAAGGGACAACATATAACGAAGGGGCCAAAAAAACCGACGGGGATCACACTTGCAATTGCAAACACGCATGCTGTCGACAACACGAAGGGTACCAGCACCACTTGCACACATCCTCCACGTTAGACAGCATGACTTTGCACTCATCCACGTCAGCCAGCACCACTTACACGTCATCATCCACAGCAGCCAGCACCACTGCCAGCTCCTGAGGCTCGAGGTCTGAGACAGAGGGGTGTGACGAGTGCTCTCTCTGCAAGGCGCGACACGGAAGATATGGGGGACAGGAGGAACAGGGAGGAAACAGGTATATGTAGACTGGCCAGCTCTTGAGGCTCGAGGTCTGAAACAGAGGGGTGCGACGAGTGCTCTCTCTGCACGAAGGGCAAGGAGTCAGGAGGGGATGAGAAAATAGAGTTGATTTCTAAGGCGCATAAAAAATCAGCACCATCCCTCTGGAAGAAGGGCGAGGTCGATATTGGAGGAGGCAGGAAGGAACAGGAGAGAATCGGGTGGGAAAGGGAGAGAGACGGCGAGCAACGGATGGAGGTGGGGCATTGTCCCCCAAAAAGGGCAAGGGCATTGTCCCCCAAAAAGGGCAAGGGCATTGTCCCCCTAAAAGGGGCTGCCAAAGAGCTCCTGCCTGCTACAGACAGAAGGGTCGCCTCACGTAGGGGCTGCCTCACTTGCACTTCCCCCTGTTCTCCTTGTCAGTCTCCCACCTTCAACCATACACCCCCCCTGCTTCTGAGACGTCTCAAAAGTCTTCCCCCTGTTCTCCTTGTCAGTCTCCCACCTTCAACCATACACCCCCCCTGCTTCGCCCCACCTTGGTGCCCAGCTGCGCCCACTGCCCCCGTGCCGGGGTGTGCTGTGACCGCTGCTCCCTCTGCTCCTTGTCGCGTGCTGACACGGACTGAAACGCCACTGCCTGTAGCTGACCCGCCTGTGAGGGGGAAAGCGGGAGCGAGGGGAGAATTGTCTTCCCATGCTCACACAGCTCCTTGTCAACAACGCACCTTTCAGGCACCTAAAAGACCCTGAAAACAGAATAGAATCTCTGAGCATGGTGATCTGAGAGGGAGGAGGCATTCACCTGGGCATGCGAGGAGGCGCGGTTGAAGGCAGAAAATATGAGCCCCACGAAGCCCTCGTCCAGCATCTGGTACATGCCCTGTGTGCGCACGTCTGGAGGAAGATGGAGCAAGGTGGGGGGAGGGAGAAGAGAAGGCACAAGGGGCGTTTGAGTTCCACAAATCCCTCGTCTAGCATGTGGTACATGCCCTGTGTGCGCACGTCTGATGTGAGGGAGGGCATCAAGGTGGGGGGAGGGATTGGGGCACATGGGGTGTTTTGAGTTGGCAAGAAACACACACCGGACTAATATGAGTCCCACCCACGAACCCCTCGTCCAGCATGTGGTACATGCCCTGTGTGCGCACGTCTGATGTGAGGGAGGCAGCGAAGGGAGGGAGCGAAGGGAGGGGTGAGGAGAAAGAGACATTGGGGGGCACATAGAGGTGTTTTGAGAGGCCGACGAACCCCTCGTCTAGCATCTGGAACATGCCCTGTGTGCGCACGTCTGGTGAGGAGAGAAGCAAGGTAAGGGGACATGGAGGTGAGAGGAAACAAATGTAAGAGTATATAACTCCCATGAACCCCTCGTCTAGCATCTGGGACATGCCCTGTGTGCACACGTCTGGTGCGCTCCCGAGAGAGGCGAGGGAGGAACAGGGAGCACACCGGGTGTTTTGAGCGCATCAAGAGAATATGAGTCCCACGAAGCCCGAGTGCAGCATCTTGGTGCATGCCCTGTGTGCGCAGCGCACGTCTGATGGACAACATAGAGAGCAAAGGGAAGAGGCCTATGGGGTGTTTTTTTAGTCGACCAGAACAAGTGAATGTGCGTCCCGCGAAACCCTCATATAGAATTTGATACGTGCTCTGTGGGCACACGTGCTCTGTGGGTACACGTGCTCTGTGGGCACACGTGCTCTGTGGGCTGGGCACACGTGCTCTGTGGGCACACGTGCACTGTGGGCACACGTGCAGACGTGTGCACACAGAGCAGTGCAAGCCCTCGTCCCGCAAGCTCTGTGTGCACACGTGCTTTGCACATTGCAGCAAGAAGTGGGGGCGAAAGGGAGGGGGCTAGGGAGGGAAGGAAGGCAGCACATGAGGAGGCAGGAAGAGGAGAAACAAAGAAAGGCGGTGGTGCTTTATAGTTCAGAAAACAGATGAAACGTGAGCGATGCAGTGCAAATACAACACACTCTTTATCCTATGTGTGCAGATCCTGTTGACAGGCATGCTGACATAATCAATGTGTGCTGAGCCAAGCCACATACCGACATGGGACGGGTGAACAGTGATGTGTGGGTGCGAGTGGTACCACCCAATGACACGTGTCCTCATGCCAGTGGCCACTGACATTCTGCAATTTTCAGCATCAAAAGGAATGGAATGAATTGGAATGACATTCAGAGACAATCAGCTTATGGCATGGAATGGCATGACGTGACATGCATAGACATGGCTGGCCGTGGTCAACGTGGTCAACATGGTCAACGTGGGCAGCATGCATGATGGCATGAAGCAGGGGCTGGGATAAGGAAGCAAGTAAGTAAACACAGAGGATGCATGAAAGCATGCATGCATGAACAACAGGTGAGCCTCGTTACTAGCCTTATGGAAATCCACTAGCAAGCTTGCAGGTAATTCTCATGCATAGCGAAAACAAAAGAAATCAAAAATACAAGAAACACGGTGCCAAGCGTACCTCTCAGCCTCGGCAGACGCTGCTGCCAGCTGCTCCGGAGTCGTCTCGACTCGATCTTTTCTCCTGTCTGCCCGAACCTGCGGGGCAGCACCCCAAATCTTTGCAGAGACCACAGGGGTTCGTCCACTGTGGTCGTACTGTAGTTGAAATAGTGGAGGTGGGAGGGGTGGGGGGGGAGGAAGGAAAAAAGTGAGGGAGAGAGTACATATGAGGGTAGTGTGAGGAAGAGAGGATGATGTAATCTTCAGGCAGTATGAAAAGAGACGGTGAATGGGAGGCATCTGGCAAGGGGTGAAGAGAGATGGTGAGGTGGAAATTCCCTACGAGTGTTTGAGAAAGACGAACAACGGTGAAGAGGGATTGAGGTCCAAAGATGCTAATCAGAACTTTACAGAGGCACAGATGTCTCCAAAACAAACGTTATCAATAAGAGGCATCAATGGAAGGAGACTTTATAAGGAGGAGTCCTCTACGTACATGGAGATGACTTTTGAGTCAACTAATGAGTCAGCAACGTACATGGATATCCCCGAGCAACAGACTTTTGAGTCGACATAAAAGAGGAGCTTAAAAGAGAAGGCTACGTACATAGATATCCCCGAGCAGCAGACTTTTGAGTCGACATAAAAGAGGAGCTTAAAAGAGGAGGCTACGTACATGGATATCCCCGAGCAGCAGACCCATGATTTCCTCCGCTTCCGTTGAGAGCGCGTGCGTGGCACACGTCAGCCACACTTCTGACGAAACCACCACCTCCGTCAGCGACATCGCGGCGAACGTAACCAGCTGTCGCAGAACACTTGACCGCGGGTCCTGAGCGTGCGATTACACGTGCGAACGCACACCGAACGGATGTTGATCGCCGTGCGACACTACTCGTACGATGCATACATGCTAGTACGTCGCTGAGCTATGTTGCTGAACACTATTGCCCGAGAACGTTCACGTTCTCACATGTATCATGCTGTTACGGGTGCAATGAATCGAGGTAGCGAGAATTGCACTAAGGTGTCAAACGAGTACAAAATGTGAGCGAAGGCATGAGCGAGCATTTATACGCGAAACATGCAAAACGGTAACGCGGTGCGTGCGAACTTGCTAGTGCTACGCTGGAGCGAGGCTCGGGCTAGTCCCGAAGCGTAGGCCGATACGGCCATGCCAGCAGTGCGAGGTTTGGCAAAACAGTGCGCGCGAAGTCGGCGAAGTTCCGTTAGCAGTAACGGGCGAACAGTCGGCTGTTGCTGTACGCGATGTAGTCGGCTCCGTAAGGAATGCCTGAGAAAATTCCTTACACTACCCCCCCCCTTAAGAAGCCCCCTCCGCTACGCGAGTGCGTGTATATCCCGGAATCCCCGGCTTCTCAAGTACACTTGCAGGGCAGGGTGATTTTCGATGTTGCTCAGGGGCACCCAGCTATCTTCAGTTGGCGTGCGGTCTTTCCAGCGAACGAGGAATTCAATCCTCCTGATTCCCGTGGGGTGGCGGATCCGATGGCTCAAAAATTTCTCGGGCTCGATGATCGGCTCTGATGCAGGGCGAGTCATTGATTGTGGCCGGTGACGCGGCAGTTGACTCGTGGTCGGGATGTATGGGCGAAGTAGGCTGACGTGGAACGAAGGGCTGATGTACCAGTCAATTGGCAACAGTAGGTGCGCGGTGACGGGTGTGATCATGTGACTGATTTGGAATGGTCCACAGTAGCGCGGTCGTAATTTTGGTACGTCGGGCAGTCGCAGATTTTGCGTGTCGAGTAGCACGTAATCTCCAGATTGATACGTGACGGGGCGGCGGTGGCGATCAGCGTTGCGCTTAGCGATGACGTTGGCCTTTTTTATTGCTTCGGCGGCTCTGGCGCGGGCAGCTTGCAGGATTTCGGCGAATTGTTGTGCGCGTGGCGTGGGGTTGTCCGGACTCGGCGTCATGGGCACTGTGGGGTTCTGCCCATAGTTCAGGTAGAACGGGGACTGCTGCGTCGTGGTTGATGTGGCGTTGTTGTACGCGAACTCGATCAGCGGCAGCTGCTGCTCCCAGGTCGTGGGGTCGTCGCACGTGGCACGAATCAACTGCTCCATCGTCTGATTCGTCCGCTCCGTTTGGCCGTCGGTCTCGGGGTGGTACGACGAACTGAACTGTAGCCTGGTCCCGAACTGCTCCCAGAGGTTCTTCCAGAAGTTGCTGGTAAACTTCGTGTCCCTGTCGCTGATAATTGCTGCTGGTATCCCGTGCAGGCGAACAACGGCTGCGATGAACAGGCGAGCGGTCTCTTCGGCTGAGATCGACTTTTTGCACGCAGCGAAGTGTGCCATCTTCGTCAACCTATCCACGACGACCATCACCGCGTCGTTACCCCCAGGGTTCGAAGGTAACCCTGTGACGAAGTCCATGGTTACTTGCTGCCAGGCGCGTTCGGGCGGTGGGATCGGCTGCAATTGACCCGCCTTCCGCTTCCTTGAACTCTTCATCACCTGACACGTCGGGCACGAGCCCACGTGCTGCTGTACGTCGGTCAACAGCTCCGGCCAGTAATAGTACCGCTGCAGTTGCTGTCGTGTTTTTTCTACCCCGAAATGTCCCGAGGTAATCCCGTCGTGTGCCTCCTGCAGCAGCAACTCCCTCAGTAGTGAGTACGCGGGTACCCAAATGCGGTTGGTGCCTGTTTTTACGTAATAAACTCCTTTTGCTTCTGCCAGTTGCTGTGAATTTCCGGTCGTGAAAAATGGGTCGGTGCGGTATCCGTGGGTGAATAGGCCAGTTAAAAGCGGGTTGGTCTGGGCGAGTAGGATGGCGTGGAGTTGGGCGGTGGGGCGGGTGAGAGCGTCGGCGATGTTGGATGCTCCTTTTTTGTACGTGACGGTGTAGTGAAAATTGGACTCGAGATAGTCCAACCAGCGAATCTGTCGTGGGTTGAGATTCGGTTGGGCGCGAAGGTACTGTAGCGAGCGGTGGTCTGTCCGTACTGTCACGTCGGCACCAGTCAGGTAACATCGCCAAACTTTGAACGCGTGCACGATCGCTAGCATCTCGCGGTCGTGTATCGGGTAGTTACGTTCGGGCGGGTGTAACTTGCGGGACTCGTACGCGATTGGCTGGAGGCCATTCCCGAAATCCTGCAACAGTACTGCTCCCACAGCGATGTCACTTGCGTCGGTGACGAGCTCGAACGGACGGTGGGGATCTGCAATGTGAAGGACGGGCGGGGAGCACAAAATATTTTTGAGGGCCGAGAAGGCAGCTTGCTCTTTCTCCCCCCACGTGTACTCAACCCCCTTCCTCAGCAGGTCAGTCAACGGGGCAGTCAGTTTCGCCATGTCGGGGACGAACCGGCGCACGTAGTTGACGAACCCCAGGAAACTCTGCAACTCGGTCAAGTTGGTCGGCGCGTGCCAAGCCTGAATCGTCGCAATTTTCTTCGGGTCTATTTCCACTCCTGCAGCTGAAATAACATGTCCCAAAAACTCCAGGCGGTCCTGTAAAAACTCACACTTAGATGCTTTGGTCAGTAGGCGGTTCTCACTCAGGATTTTAAAAACTGCTTCGATGTCTTGTAAGTGCTGTGCTCTGTCAGGGCTGTAAATCAGTATGTCGTCCAGATAAACGATGACGCACTTATCTAAAAGCGGGCGGAATGCTTCGTTCATGGTCATTTGGAAAGTGGCGGGGGCGTTGGTCAGTCCGAATGGCATGACGGTGTATTCGAAGGATCCGTAGCGTGTTCGGAATGCGGTTTTAGGGCAGTCGGGTGGGTTGACGCGGATTTGGTGGTATCCTCCCCGGAGGTCGATTTTCGAGAAAACCCGGGCTGTGCGCAGTTGGTCGATCAGTTCGTCGGCTCGTGGGATGGGGTAACGGGATTTGATGGTAACCCTGTTCAGTGCCCTGTAGTCGATGCACATGCGAAAACCCCCGTCCTTTTTCGGTGTGAACAGTATTGGTGCGGCGAAAGGCGACGAACTAGGGCGAATGAATTCCTTTTCTAGCAGGTAATCGAGCTGCTTCCTTAGTTCGTCTAATTCGGGTTGGGTCAGTCGGAACTGTCGCTGTACTGTTGGCTGTGCCCCCGGTTCCAGTTCTATCCTGTGATCGTGCGGTCGCTGAGGTGGCAGTCCCGTCGGCAGGTCATCCGGGAAAATGTCACTGTACTGTTGTAACAGTGCCGCCAGGTCACTCGGTACGTCGGTCAGCAGTTTCTGTAAATCGCCTCCCTTGTCTGCTGCCTCGGCTTCCCGAATGTCAACCGCGTACACGTCGGCTCCGGCCGCAACAGCGCGTTTCATCGTGATCGCGTTGACACGCACCGACGAAGACTCAGGCGAGCCCCAGCGAGGTAAGGCGATGTTGTTACCGTTCACTCGCACGGTGCAGTCACCCGTCGTCCAGTCAATTCGCGGGTTGTGCCGTCGCAGCCAATCACGCCCGAGTAAAATGTCGGTTCCGTCGAGGGTCGTTGCGAGCATTTCCTGACTAAACGTGAAGTTACCCCCGCATCGAATCCGAACTCGGTCTACGCGTTCCCGTATTGCCAGCGGCGTGCCGTCTACCAGTCGTGCGTCGATCTCAGGTAAGCATCGGTCCAGTGGCAGTCGCAATTTTCGTGCTGTAGCAGTGTTAATGAGGCTGTGGCTGGCTCCCCCATCTACGAAGATTTTAACTAAGTCCGTCCCAATTTTCCCACTGAGCAGTATAGGGCTATCTACCGTGGTACCCTCCTTATTCGGCCGGGTGTGGTCGATTGCGTGAACCGGCACAATCACTCGGTGAGGGTCGGTTGGGTCGGGCGAGCGGCGTGACCTGTCAGTAGAGGGCCCGTCTGCTACTGACTTCCAGCGTTTCCCTGCTGCTTGGTCTGTGTCTGCTGCTCAGCTTCCCCCTTTCCCTTAGCGTTTTCCGGGCATTCGCTCTTGCGATGTCCCGGCCGATTGCACGCAAAGCAGCGCCCTTTGAACGGTGCGGCAGCGGCATTTGCGGCGACGGCGCGTATCGTGGCGCTCTCGTTCGTCCCACGAGGCCGATGTCCCCAGGTGTTGTTTCCGTAGGACCCCGGTCTCGGTCGGCGAAAGAAGTCGAGCTTCTCCGCCATAGCGAGAATTTCCTGAAACTCAGTGACGCCGCGAAGCTGGATTTCCTGAGCGATGTCCTGCTTCAGGCCGCCGATGTAGCGGTCGATGCGTTCGCTCTCATGCATGTAGCCCACCTGCTCGCATAGCGCCAGAAATCCGCTCGTGTAATCCTGGACGGAACCGAGTTGGCGCCAAGTGCGGAGCTTCTGTCGCGCCGAGATCGA